ATTATCAAACAGGGAATCTGTGTCATATCCAACTCTGGTTCTGATTGCTTTCTCTCTTCAGACTGTTTTTTCTTTCTTTTTGGCATGCCTTGAAATTTTTTTGTTGAAAGCCAGGTATGTTGCACTGGGTAATAGAAACGGAGGTAGACAGGCCTTAAGTGTGAAGGTTCATGGTAATCTGGCTAGAGGATGGACTATGTTAAATGTTTGCTGCAGTTACAGGTGCCAGAGGTTTCACCTTCCTCTAGTGTCTTTGCTTTTGCCTGTCTCTTAACTTTGGGTTTCCCTAGTTACTCCTCCACAGAGGGGGACTTCCAGCTGTAATCCACTACGGTTACACTGGAATCCCACTGGTGCGGTGGTAAACTGTGGGAAGCGGGATATTCTATAATCTTCAGATTAAATCTATGTCTTAGTGGGCCTGTGAGCTTCACAAGTGTTTTTCCAGTGGTAGAGCTTTTCCTTTCTGGCCTCCTACTCCCTTCTCTGGCTGCAGCATTTCCAGTCTATTTCCTTGAAATCCTGACCCCTCTTGACTAAGTCCCCATCCCCGCCCCAATTAAGAAAGACAGGAAGCCTAGAGGGGAGGGGCTAGAGTGGGAAGAACGCCCTTCCGCCAATTGGGATAAGGCTCTGGCAGTCTTTCACCCTGGAGAGTAAGCCTTTGTAATAAAGGTTTTGGACATTGATCCCTTTTCCACATCAGAGCCACAGATCTTACTAGATCTTCACTGAGAATGTGGTGGGATTCTTGGAGGTAAAGCTCACGAACCTGTGGAGACCCCTCTTAAGACTATGATCCCCAGGGACTTCTCACTCTCATACTCGCCCACACTCAGCTGCTAGCAATTCATTACCATCTAAGTGTTTCCAACTAGCTTATGGCTCCAGTAGCTTTTGCTCCAGATAAGCAGATTTTGGCTGTCTCTCTCTAGATAGCCGTTTCTCCAGACTTTAGGATGATGGTTTGCCCTTCAACCTCAATTCTCTGATGGGTCCAAGAAAAGTCACTGATTTTCCATTTGTCCAGATTTTTCTTGTTGTAAGGACAAGATGATAACTTTTTCTCTTGAGAAAGGGTCTCACTCTGTCACCCAGGCTGGAGTGCAGCAGCGCAATCACGGCTCACTGCAGCCCCACCCTCCCAGGCTCAGGTGATCTCCCGCCTCAGTCTCCCAAGTAGCTGGGACTACAGGTGCGTGCCACCATCCCTGGCTAATTTTTTAATTTTTATAGAGACTGGGTTTTGCCATGTTGTCCAGGCTGGTCTCGAACTCCTGGGCTCAAGTAATCTGCCTGCCTCAGCCTCCCAAAGTACTGTTGATTACGGGTGCATACCACTGTGCCAGGCTTGGTGCCAACTTTCAAGCTTTTTACCTGTAGAAGCTTAAACCAGAATTATTTATATCATTTTGGTCATTCCCTTCCATCCACCTGAACTACTGTGTCCCTTCTTGTCCTCACATTTGCCGTGACTACTGTACCTCTTAGTCTTTTCATGACTAGGTTTGAGGAAAGGGCTGATGTTTGATCTCTCCTGTCTTTCAGCACTTTGCACAATCAAGTGCTTGGTGTTGCTAGTTGAGTCCACTGGGTCGCTTTCATTTCTGGCACTCACTCTACAGTAAAGAGCATCTGGGATGAGGTGTTACCGCCCAGCACCCTCTAAGCTTCCTTTGTGCTTTTAAATTCATTTCCCTGGCCTCCAAGTCAGTCTTATTTTCTTAGCAAGGTTGGAATAAAGCAAACTTCACTTCCTGTAAATTAGGATTTACAAAAGTAATTTCTCAAGTTCTGATAAATCCTTTTTTCTCAATTTCTTGATTTCTTTCTGTAATGACTTAAGTAGCCAGGTAAGATCAGATTTGACCAAGTTCAAGGACATCACAGGGCCTCTGAGCTAAACGACCAAACCTGACAGTTTCGGAATTACTTGGGAAGCTTTAAAAAAGAAAATCCTAAACTCAGTCCTAAGAGAGTAATTGTGGTGGGTAGCAATGTTTAGGAAAATACGATACTTCTAGTAAGCTGTGCATGTCCAAAAGAGCTACTTACACCTAAAGTTAAAATCAAAACTAAAAAACATACTAGGGAGACAAAGTGAAAAATACTATTAGAAAAACCAAACCAAACCTATTCATTCATAACAAACGATATAGGAATTGTTTATTAACATTCACCCTTTCACTCATTCAGTAACTGTATTGAAAGTCATAGGCACGGCTGGGCGCGGTGGCTCACGCCTGTAATCCTAGCACTTTGGGAGACTGAGGCGGGTGGATCACTTGAGGTCAGGAGTTCCAGACAAGCCTGACCAACATGGTGAAACCCCGTCTCCACTAAAAAAAATACAAAATTAGCTGGGCATGGTGGCGCACGCCCATAATCCCAGCTACATCGGAAGGCTGAGGCAGGAGAATTGCTTGAACCCAGGAGGCGGAGGCTGCAGTGAGCCAAGATCATGCCACTGCACTCCAGCCTGGGGAAGAGTGAGACTCCATCACAAAAAAAAAAAAAAAAAAAATTCATAGGCCCTGTCCACAAGGAAGTACACCAAGGCATGGCCTTTAGAATCAAACATCTTCACAGTTTATATCCAGTACCATCCTCTCCCGGTTAACCTTGAAAATTCTGCTCAAGCTTTCAAAACCTCAGTCTTCTCATTTGTAAAAATAACATTATCTACCTCAGAGGGAAGTTCTGTGACAGAGATCACAGTGGAATTATTACAAACTTATTATCTCTATCCTAAAACAGTTTGAACTCCTTTCCTAGCCTAAACACTGGCGTTTTGTTAATAATAGCAGCTGGCACCCACTGAATATTAATCTATATGCCAGGGAGTGGCCTAAACTCTGTCCATCCATAGCTCAAACACATTTTATCTGTAAAGGCCTGGGGGCCACAGCCTTATTCCTTCATTGGCCATATTCACCCCACTCATGTAACCAAAAAAGGCAAAGCAAGAGGACACAACAGGACAGACTTTTAATCTAGGGTGGCCTCCTAGCAAAGAGGGCTGAGTGGAAAAATCATGGGATGTAATAAAAAGGAGATGCTCCTCCTCCCCTAACACCCCTTCCCCCAAGTCATAATCACTACCAGGGGTCATGATGGCAGAACCTCTGGGTAGCAAACCAAATACCAGATAAACCTATTCTGGAACTGCCATGGTAAATGAGTAAGAGTGGTACTATTTGCTACTACTACTGTTGTATCCATGACTACCACCGTCAACTAATAACTATTATTATGCTTTTATATGTTCCGACACTGTTCTATGAATTTTACATGTAATCCTCAATGTAAGTTACTAAAGTTACCACCAATATTGACCCTTTATAACTGGCAGGAGTTGAGACAAGGCAATTAAATACTTAAATAATGGACACAGAGCCTGAGATTCCTTAGAATTACGCATCCATTGCTTTGTAATTCACTGCCAAATTAGTTTTTTAAGGAAGATTCTTAAGGGATTCTGGAATCCCCTCCTATGTAGTTAGAATTATGAGCACCTGTATTTTTACTTCAGTGGGTTAAAGGCATAGTTTTACTGTAAACCATGGTCTCAATTTCCTACGAGACATCACTGAAAAGTACCCTCCTCCATTAGGCAAAAACATGTTACCTGGAATAAACTTTTCGCCTACTTTAAAACCATTGACTTTTCAAGAGCATGCCTGCCCTTAGGAAATTGTGGTAGAGGTTAAAAGTGGGCAGGCTGGTACAAACCATCCTAAACCACACTATTCCTTGTCTGTGAGTGATCAAAATCAAGACTCCATGGTGAGTGGAAACCTTGACATTACTGACATTTTTCTGTTGTGGGAGGCTGGCTTGTTCATTGTAAGAGGTTTAGCAGCATCTCTGACATCCACCTGTTAGATTCCAGTAACATTCCCTAGTTGAGACAACCAAAAATATCTTCAGACATTGCCAAACATCCCCTGGGGGACAAAATCATCCCTGGTTGAGAACCACTGCTTTATTTTAATGTTTAACAGAAAAAAAAAAAAAAAATTCTTTTGAGACAGGGTCTCACTCTCACCCAGGCTAGAATGAAGTGGCATGATCTTGCCTCATTGCAACCTCAACTTCCTGGGCTCAAGATACACTTCCGGCCAGCCACCCAAGTAGCTGGGACTACAGGCACACACTACCATGCCCAGCTAATTTTTAAACTTTTTCTAGAGAGACAGTCTCACTATGTTACCCAGGTTGGTCTCAGAATGCCTGGCCTCAAGCAATCCTCCTGCCTTGGCCTCCCAAAATGCTGGCACTATAGGTGCAAGTCACTGTGCCTTGCTGAGAACCACTGCTTTAAAGAATTATTTGGTTTTGCAGAGCTACCATTATTCTGTTCTGCATACCCAAAACTGACAGCCTTTGACTTTACTTCTCAGTTCACTGAAATAAAACTTACGTGTTGCTTAGCTTTGTACCTTCTTACTTTACGGTAATTGAAATGTCCAGTATTAGGGAACTGTGAAATACTGTTTGAGCAACGAAAGGCCTGATGGGGCAACTATGACTTCCTATGACTTCCATCTGCTTGGTGGACATCCTAGTTTGGCCAAGACCTAAGCTTGTTTCCTTTTAAATGGACTGATCCATCTGCAGAGGAGACGCCTCTGTTGTAGGAGGACAAAATTTCTTTACCTTGGGATTTAACTCCAAGTCACAACGGGTCCCCAAACCACCAGAAGTTGTACAGACTCAAACTAGAGACCACATTCTGGCTGAAAGGTCTGACCACAACACAAGCTAGGCAGCAAGAAGTCATGTATTTTCTGGTATCTTATCATTTTTGCAGGTCAGGCTACAAGATTGTGCCCTTCTCTTAAAGAGGATAAAGTGTGCTACTATCCCAAACCAAATTAAAGAGAAAGCACAAGCCTGCTGACTAAGAAGAGTTATTACACCCCTGCTAAATTTATTTAAACAAGTCACTCAGTTGAACTAGGAAAAAACTTCTGAAAAATAGGAGGAATGGTATTGACTTATCTTTAAAAGTCCTTTTAATAAATGACTTGAGATTATAAAACAGTTTTGAAATACACAAAAGTGCTTCAAAATGATTCAGTAAGTCTTAAGGAATAAATTTTTTAGTATATCACTTTTGTTGTTGTTGAAAACACCCCATTCAATGGGTGGAAGTATATTTGATGTCACCACTGTTTAAAGGGAATGGAATGACAGGAATGAGAAGTATATAATTAGTAAATAATCCCTCTCAACAAGTGACTTAAGCAGTCACTCATAGAGAGCAAAGAAAAGCTGGAGGCAACACAATCAGTGCATATCAGAAACGCATTTTAATTTTTATTTGAAAACAACTTAAATTTTTAGACAAATGATTTTAGTATATAAATTTGATTTTGTTTTTATACAGAATATAAAGATTTCCCTCATTAATCTTCCATGTGAAGGGTATTACAAGCCTGAAGGAAGATACTTTCTGCACACAAGTATGTATCTTATGTGTGCAGTATTGGAAACCAATGGTGTAGTGCTCCTACACATAAATTGGGTCAAGTGACATCACACATTAAAAGGGGGAAAGAGAAATATTCTAGTTAATCAGATGCAAGAAGCAAACAAGACACAAAAACTGTGCAAATAAGACCAAGCCAGTAACTTTAGTTAGGACACTGCAGATTACATTGGAATAACAGGTTTGTGAGGCTACAGTGTGCACCACATTAAAACAGCAAGAAGAGCTATTTATATAGAAAGGCTGGAATGAGGGATTTTCACTAAAGCAAATTAACTTCTTGTCAACTGCCAAAACAAAACAAAACTGAGCGTATGAGTGTTAGTATACTGAAGGCATGTTATACCAGTTTCTGTGCAGCATGCTAAAAGTTAGAACTTCTTCACTGGTGCTTATCAATCATTAATAGTCACATTTTTGCCCCTTCTTGCCAAATTTCAGGCATGTCTTATTTTAGATGGAGTATAGCTTTTATCTATTATTTCATCTTGTAAAAACATGTGAAGACAACGTTCATTCTGTGCCAGAGGATGACCAGCGACCCTAAGAATAAAAAATATAAATTTAGTCCAACATTTTACACAAGGTGGGGGAGTTCAAAACACGTATTTTAAGGTTAAGAAGTATGT